GGACCCTCGCGCCTCCGCCGCCTGCTCAGCGCCCTCCGCGCCCTCCGCGCCCCCAGGGGCCGCCCCTCCGGCCGCCGCCTCCCCGCCCATCTCCCCGGCCCCCGCCTCCTCCGGCTTCTACCGGGGCGCGTACCCGGCCCCCTCGGACTTCGGCGTTCACTGCAGCAGCCAGACCACCGTGCTGGACCTGGACACACACGTGGTGACCACGGTGGAAAACGGCTACTTGCACCAGGACTGCTGCGCCTCCGCCCACTGCCCCTGCTGTGGCCAGGGCGCTCCGGGACCGGGCCTGGCGTCCGCCGCCGCTGGGTGCAAGCGCAAGTATTACCCTGGCCAGGAGGACGAGGACGACGAGGAGGAGGAAGAGGGCGACTTGGGGGCCGAGCCCCCCGGGGGCGCCCCGTTCGCCCCCTGCAAGCGCGCCCGCTTCGAGGACTTCTGCCCGGACTCGTCCCCGGACGCGTCTAACATCTCAAACTTGATCTCCATCTTTGGCTCGGGCTTCTCGGGGCTGGTGAGCCGACAGCCGGACTCCGAGCAGGCGCCGTCGCTCAACGGGCAGCTGTGCGCCAAGCAGGCGCTCGCCAGCCTCGGCGCCTGGACTCGAGCCATTGTCGCCTTCTAGGGACCCCCGTGGGCACAGGGACCCCGGGCCCCGCGGGGCTAGGGCCAGACAAAGACTCGACCAAGGGGCGAGAGGAGGGAGAAAGCAGGCGCCCAGCCACTCGGACCTGAGCTGGGGGCGAGCAGGGGGAGGCGGCTGATGTTTTATAACTGTAAAATAAAAAAATATATATATAAAAGCTTGGACTTTATTTTTGCAGAGAGAAAAAGCGCCTATTTAAGTATGCTTTGTGTTTCTCCTACTCTTTTTTCCCCCCTCTTTTTATTGTAGTGATTGCAGTGGTGTTTAGCGAGGAGACTGCCACGTGAGGGAGGGCTGCGGCCCGGAGGAGATGCCGGGCGGCCGAGGGCGAGGCAGGGCGCGCGGGCCACCGGGGCGCACCGGGGGCGCAGCGCAGGAGGGCGCGGAGCTGGGGACGCAGGTTCCAATCAGTTGTCAGACGCGGGAAGCCCGACGTTCCGCTCTCCTGAGTCCCTCTATGGGGTGAGGAATGAGTCTTGTGAAATCCTCAGCAAAAAACAAAGGCAAACTCTATCTCCAAAAGGGACGTTTGGGTCACATTTCCTCTCTGGGGGCGGCCTCCAAAGTTCTCCAAATGAGAAGGCAGAAATGAAAACACTTCAACTTTTTTTTTCTTTTCTTCCCGGGGCGGGTGTTTTGAACCCCTCCTCTCCCCGCCCCTCTGGCTCCGTCCCTCTCCCCTCCTCCACCAGTCTCCCAGATTCCGGGGTGGCTCCCGACACCCCGACACTCTCTGGACACTGTTTGGGGAAGGGGTGGGGGGCCAGCACAGAGGACTACATTTCCCATCATGCCCAGCACTGCGGTCCTCACTAAACAAAAAAGGAAGTCGATTCCTTCACCTGGATCCCGGGCGGCCCCGGGGGAGGGAGGGGCCGGGGCCTCCGACTGAGTCGGAGACTTCTCGCTAAGTTCCTGGTCAGCTGTGGTGTTTGTGTGTGTGTTTCTGAGTTGCACAGTTCTGGTTCAGCCTTCGGTTGCATTTCATGAAACCAGCATTGTTCGAGCCTGTGAGAACCCCGTCCTGTGGTCTTCAGCTCCACAGATTTTGTTTAATTTAAAAGCCTTTTGTTGTAAAAAGGTGGGGGGTTCATCTGCAGCCCCTGTAGCACCATGCGGACTCCAAGACAAGTTGCCAATCTTTCCCTTCCTCTGTTCTCCCTCGTTCTCCTGTATTTTGTGCATACTGGATTGTATATCACCGGGTAAAACTGTTCAGATGATTTGTTTAAATTTATAATCTTAATAAAAAGTCGATAGTACAGTATGGTGGTACCTTGTTTTCACATGGGCCCGGGGGAGGCAGGCGGGATCTGCCCACATCCGCAAGGCCGGGGTGGGAACGGGGAGGGGGAGGAGAGATGTTGGTGCTGGGGACGGAGCCGGGGCTGCGCGCGCCTCTGGGTCCCCCTCCCTCGCCCGCCCGCGGGTCCTACCCCCTATGGGAACCGGCCGCCCCGGGGTCTCCAGCTGGAAGCTGCGCTAGCCTCATCCACTCGCTCCCCGTGCAACCTGGGTGCAGGGCCTGCTTGGCCTCGAAGCTGAGCTCCCTGAGGCCGGGGGCTCCCGGGCCACCCACACTCCCCGCCCCGCGCGTCCGCCCGCACGTCCGCACGTCTCGGGCTGTAACTTGAGGAAGTTTTTTCCTTTCCTTTTTTCTTTTCTTTTTTCTTTTTCTTTTTTTTTAAGTTGAGTTTGTTATCACTGCTCGGTGCCACTTGGTGGTGTGCTGGCGGCGTCTCCCTCCCTCCTCGCGTCCCTCCCCTGCGCTCCCTCGGCTCCCGCCTCCCCGCCCTCCCCAGGATGGAGGCAGGAAGACTCCGGGCGCGCTCTGACCACCTACGGAATGACCTCAGAGCGAGAGAATGTGCCAAGGCCCGGGGGAAGCTCGCGTGCTCCCCGCTGCAACCCAGCGCACATCTGGAGCCGCGGCTGGGCCCGGGGGCGCGCGAGCAGTTCCAGCTCTGCGAGGAGGGGATGGTAAAGAAAAGAGCCGGGAGGAGTGGGGGTGTTGGAAAAGAAGGCAAGCGGCTGCCTGCTTGCTCTGTGTTTGATGGGGGTCTCTCGGTATCTCCCCATCTCTGGCTGTCTCCTCAGAGCTCCATGGTCACAAGGGAGATTGGCTTATAGTCTTTTTGTGGTTGCATCCTTCTCTGGTTTTGGTATCAGGGTAATATCCCCAAAGCTCCAGCGCCCCCCTTTCCACGGAGGCCCCCAGCCACTGGGGAGGACGGCTCAGCCCCCACGCCAGCCTTCCCGCCTCCCTCGGCGGTAGAGCTGCTGCTGCCTGACGCGCCCACCCCGACCCGGAGAGGCGAGTCCCCGGGGGCAACTCGGCTCCAGAGCCCGGTGTCCCGCGAGGCGAAGTTCTTGGGGACACTCCTGTACGCGGGGACCACGCAGGGCTGCGACGCAGGTGGGGGAAGAGGGAGGATCTGGAGGCGTGCGCTGCGGGGAGGAAAGGCACCTTCATCGCCACCTCCCCCAGGGCTATTTTCTCGGCCTCCCACGGGAAGAGTCTGGAGCTGCTGAGGAGGGGAACAGAACGTATCCCCCTCCCCATTTCTCTCCCTGCAAGTCCAAGGAAATAGCTGCTGGCTGAGCCGTTGTGGTTGCATTCCGCCAAGCCAATTGCCAGAGCTCCCCCTAGCGCCGCTTCGAGGGCACTGCTGCTGCTGCTGCGGATGGGAGTGGGCGAGGCTGGGCAGGGGGGCGGCGGCGCTGCGGGGGGCGGCTGTGCGCACCCGAGTGTAGCGCCGCGTCCGACCCAGCCCTGGCGGGAGCGGGGCCCGAAAAGCCGCGAGGGTCTCGGATCCACGTCCAAGCCAAGGGGGGCACGTGGTCGGTCGCCTTTGTTGAGAACGCATAGCTGATCACCGGAAGGGACTGGTCAAGGGGCTTATGAAGCCTGCACTGGTCCTCCAGGATCTCCACGAAGATGTGTAGTTGGGTGGCGAGGTACGAAGTCGGAGCCCTGAAATCAGCAGGCCCAACTAGGGCGCCATCCCCTGCAGCCAAGTTTCCAGCGCTCCAGCTCACACCTGGAGCGAGGTGGGACTTCCTGATACTGGGGGCCATGGGCGGAAAAGGTCCCCACCTCTGTTAAAGGCCAAGGGACATTGAGCAGTCACACAAAGGGTTAATGTCCAGAGTACCATAGAAGGACCCAGAACACCAGGCATCAGGTAGTGGCCATGTACCACTATGGCATGCGCACAAAACAGCCCTGGAGGGCGCAGAGCCACGCACAGCCATTCACCTCACCTGCACACAACTCTGGCCATGAGAGTCCAGAAAGGGGGGAGGGACAGGCAAGCCGCATATCCACACACGAGCCCCTTTGCCTCAAGTAAAAGGACCAGGCTAGATCACACAAGAACCACCAGGCAGGATTCGGGGTGCTGCTTGGGGAGCGAAGGGGGTTGAAAGGGATTTGGGTGCCTCTGAGAGGGAGAACAGTAGCTCTGAAGGCCAGCACGCCTGCAGGTAGCCCGTTCCCCATCCTGGGGACGCCTGAGCTCTGCTGCCCTTGATGTGTGGTGTGGGGCTGAGGCTGATGGCAAGCTGTGCTCCCAGAAACGCTGTGCCTCTGGGACCAGAGCCCAGGAGAGTGGGCCTGCTCGGTGCTGAGACCTAGGGCGTGCGTGTCTGACCATAAACTGGAGCATGCACGTGACCACGTGTCTCTGGTGCAGGACACCCCCGTTGGGAGCTGTGTGTGTCCCTCCATTCCCCTAGCACACCGACAAAGTGCCCCCTCGGTGTCTGGCCTACCCCAGCAGTAAACTGACCACCAGCACCACACACAGCAGACAGCAAGGTCAGCAAGCACCTCTGTGACTGGCTGAGGTCGATGCTGTTAACATCTTCAGTTTAGAAATGAGAATATTTAGGGCTGCACACAGTGACACACGCTTGTAGTCCCAGGTACTCAGGAGGCTAAGGCAGGAGAATTGCTCGAGCCCAGGAGTTCAGAGCCAGCCTGGGCAACATGGGCAGCCCCCATCTCCAAAACTCAAAACTCTGAACCAAGAAATAAGAGTTGGTCCAGCATCACACCATTAAACGACCAGTCTCTGCCTACTGCTATTCACAGTCCCATAAGGAGGAATCTAGCATTATGTAAGGTGGGATCTGTGTCCTGCCACTCCATCCAGGTCAGGGACTGAATTACATGGTAGGGAACAACCACATGCCTGGCACCAGCTTGGGCAAAAGGTGAGATTCCTGGGCTCTTGCGCTAAGCTTTGTCTCCAGCTTCAGTCAGAAGGGAGGAGATAGACAGACAGACACAGAGAGCCAGGCTGGGCCAGGGAGATAGCTCAGTAGAATACGTGCTTGCCTGGCAAGCTCAGGCTCCTGAGTTCAATCCCCAGTACTGCAAAAAGAAAGAGTGAAACAAAATCCCAGAAGAGGACCCTGTTCCCAAACTTTGTCTTGTTCCAAGCCCTGGGCCAGGCCTGAGGGGCAGTTAGTAGCCCTAACTGGAAGCTCCCACACAGAAGTGTCACTTGTCACACCCCAGAAGGTAGGGCCTGGGGACATCCAGGACGCAGGTAACACAATCTGTCCACATGTCCAGATAAAAAAGGCTGCCTGCTGGGCATAGTACATGCCTATAATGCTAGCACTCAGGAGGCTGACGCAGGAGGATCACTGTGAGTTTGAGATCAGCCTGGGCTACATAGTGAGTTCAAGGCCAGCCTGGAATACAAGTGAGACTGCCTCACGAAACAACAACAAACCAGAATTGCCCTGCTTGCACCCTGCTTTTTGTGCGATGATTTTGTGGGTTGATTCCTGGTGCTGCAGTGGAACTCAGAGCCTCAGGCAGGCTTAGGCAGGTGCACTGCCACTGAGCTGCACCCCCCCTCCATACCCTGCTTTTCTTACAAAGAACAAGTCAGAAACCCAGGCTGGGGGCAGGGCTCAGTGGTAGGTGCCCACCAGCCAGCTTGTCTGCAGCCCGGCTTTGGTGCCCAGCACCACAAAGAAAACAAAACAAAAACAAGCTCATTCTGGGACCCGACCTGGCCACGCCCTTCTATGAGCCCTGTCCCAGCCCTACCCATGGATCACCACAGAAGGATTTGCCGGGGCTGTGGGGTACCCAGTGAAGAGGCAGCAGGATGCGCGCATGCCTG